CGTCATTTCGAAACATTTCTTTACACTGAAACTATAATTAAGATAACGAGTCTGAACAAAATAACTTTTTAATTTCGAAAAGACACACGGTTAACTGTCTGACCTAAATACAATTCCGCGTACAGTTTTTCTTATGTGGCGAGGTGGTACAAAAAGTGCCCATTTAAAACGCAAGGTAATTTACCAGAGCCGCTTATTAGCCCCGCCGAACTTTCGGTAACTTGTGCGTCGTTTTTATTCAGAATATTGTCATTCTTAAGTCGAGGTTACGAGGACTTTAGAATTATAATTTTAATTAACTAACAGCTGACACCTTGATTAAATTATCTCCGATCCGGTCGTTGGTTGCTAGCCACTTCGCCAGCCCACCCCGGTGTGGCCACCGTTATCGTTCACTCTAACACTTGTTTTGAATGTTATCAGTAAATCCGCCCGCGTTGTTGATCCCTTGACCCAAAAACAAATGCGATCATTATTGCGTAAATTGTCATTAATCTAGTCGCCTTCAGTATTGATAATCAGTTGGTGGTTTACGGCGTTGTTGGTGACAAGATAGCCGCAGTATTTGAGCTTATCGGTCTCCTCTGATATCCAACCAATTGGTAATCAAGCACTGATTCTTGTGCTGTTAGAGTGGTACGTGATGTTTCAACAGGCAACACAGCTATCCTTAGTAGCTGCATACTAACAGGGAAATGATACCACATCCCGGAATGATATCAATCTCAATGATATGCAGTTTGTTGAGTTAACCGTTACGTTTATAACTACGCCATGTTATTTTTATTAACTAAACTAGCCCAAGGGCTACACAAATATTTTGTTAAAATATCAATAAATTCATAATCCCGCTGCGCATGTCTAATCAGACTAGTAAACAAAGTTGTTTTTGTTATTGTAGGTAGAGCCACATATTATTCTCATTTGTAATGTTTACCATGATTTTCCTAGTAAATCTGCGATAAAAAATTCATAGAAATACCTACATAGTAAACAGTATTATTTAATGTATCAGTGATGTCACAAAGTTTTTTATAAATCCTCAATAATTACAATCAAAATCCGGAACAGTAACATGAATTACAAATATCAGGGTTCAATTTTTATGAGAGTAATAAAAAGTATCAATTTGATTGTATTTGTTGATATTTCAACATATATTATTATGCAATAAAGCATCGAGCCGTCATGCTGTGGGATCGGCTCCGATCGGCGTAATATCTTCAGGTCAAGACCGTTTCGATGTCTCGCAAAAACAGTCGATAGTTCCAGTTTTGTTAATGACGAAACGAGTTGTACGTGTACCAGTCACTCGATAACCTATATACTATATATGGATATATGATAATAACATACTTCGTGACGATTACTCGATATACATAAGAAAAAGTAGGTACATTCGCACATTACTTATCAGTGTTGTGCTAGATTTCCAGTGCAGTTTCTGAAAGAAGGCTAATTCAATTTGAACAAGGACAACAACAATTATCACACAAATCATACGTGTCTTTATTACCACTCGTCTTAATTCATTTGTATACAAATGGGATTCTATGCAGGTAGCTTCGAGGTGCATTTAATTTAGAATATCTTTCATCGTAGAATACCTTGACATTTATTAATCATACCGACATACACGGCGGTTCGATCGGAACAAAGTGGCATAATGTCGAGATTGGAGAACGAAACAAAGGTACATGAACTGCATAGATATCAATGACCGAATTATTCTCGTTCTTTGTAAGCCGCGCTTTATCTCCGATCTTTAAATAAGTGCGTAAACTGGGTTCTATGTTTTCTTTGTTAACCACCGCTGTGGAAACGTTGTTTTATCTTTGTTTTCTTCTGAATGTTACATAAAGATCTCCAAAAGAAAACTCAAACAAAGGGCAGTTTGAAGTTAAATAAATAGGTAAAAAATATACAAGATTTTTATAATCGGTACCTATATTTATTAGACCGAAACTATGGAAACAAACAAAGACGTGTTTGTTTAGGTCCGGAAAGCCGGCCAGTGGCAGCGGTTCATTCACGCATTATATTTTTCCGCACGTGAACTAAATATAACACGTTCTAAATAATAAAGAAGCAGTCGACCGCTGTAACGCGTCGGGCGTTGAGCATCAGCTGAGCACACCGCAGCTAGTGACCTAACACGAAAGCGCTGCGTGAAACAGTCATCGCCCTCCTTCTGATGACAAGGCCAAGGACAGAACTGTGTAATACATACTAAACATAATAAACAAACGCAAGCGCATTGTGAGTAATGTACTAGATGTTCAAGTCCACCGCATAAAGGCTTTGTGATCCTATCATTACCGGGTACTTACGCATGAACATCACATAGCTAGGCAACGTGACTCGCACATAGGCTCAACGAGTTAAGTATAATACTAATGAATTGTCACTAATCAGTCAAATGCCACGCTTATGAGTAGTGATCCATTGTCATGCAGCCGCGACCAGCATAATAACTCGCGTTGCTTACCTACGTTGTCAGAACATCCGATCTCTCAAAGAAAAATTGCGTCACTATTATCACCATATCGACATCGGCGTAATACAAATGAGCCATTACATTAACCCACATAGATAAAACTGAACATGTAAAATGTCAACACTTGATAACGGGAGTGTACATAACACTCGATACGAAAACATCGGTGTATTGTAATTACCTACACTGTATTAAGTGAAAACAGAAAGACAGTGATCAGTGTTTTATAAATAACGTGGCACGCTTTGGATTACTCGTCCAATTCATTTATGGTGGTCTCGAATTCTGCATATCATACGAATGCACGTGAATAGTTGCATGCACATAGAAACTGTAAATGACGCTTCATTGCTCAGTCACAACACATGTAATGTGTAACGTAACTTAGAGATTGCGCTATTTCTATTAATACCTTCAGTTGGCATATTGTTGATATGCTATTGAATTACAATCGCGCCATTATTGTCAGTTGCATGACACCTACTTATTTATTAGCCACATTAGTTCGCATTATGATAGATAGATTGATATCAATTAGAACCGCGCACACGTCAGCTACTCAGCTGATGAGATTTTAGGACATAGATAGTACCACAGTACATACCACACACATAGCATACATTTATATGTCAGTGTCCTATGTCTGAATTCAGTTAACACATATTCAATGTCGTGTCCAGCTATTACCTTCTGGTAATAACTAGAAGAAAATGCTTTTGATCTTGGCAATGTTTGTTAATCGTGAATATAGTGTGTATACAAAAAATCGACACTAGTAACATTATTTGCGAAGTCTATTATGTCCATTATCACTTGAGATAACATTTCGTAAAGCTATGGTGTTGTAAAAGTAAATTAATATGGGTGGTTATTGGGTTTATAACGGTTACAAAGCAAAGCAATAATCATAATAACCAGGCACTCAACGTAATGTAGCGCTGAGTGTAATAAGAAATTAATAACGCCAAACTTTGGCCCTGCGGTGACTACCAAACAATGCTAATGACTACTATGTCTATCGATCGACCGACTTAACCTTGCTTTCTATCTATAGATAACAACTAATGTTCCTAATATTGTTTACTATTGCTATTCTACGACAATAAAAATGTTTACATAGATAATGAAATTATTACATTATAGTTTCACTATAAATGGGCATTCAGCATTACACCGCGAAACTTGTTTGTTATTGTTCCTAAGCACATAAACCTTGCGGATAGTATCGATATCGATAGTATCGCGGTAGAAGCCAGTAGTCATCAAGAAAGTTTCCGAACTATCGGGAATTTTCCCAGATCATACACTTGCCAATAAATAGCCATTAGTTGCGCTACGAGATTTTCAGTTTATTTGGTTGTACACGTACGTACTAATGACGCGGTATGTTCTCGCGTGTAAGATGTAGGTATACGTTTCCTCTAAAAAGTGTTTCTACTAATACTAGTCACTTATGGAAAATCAAGGAAAGATACAAATAAAACTCGATCGCCTTGGGCATCTTGCTATCTAAAACGCGCTTTCATAAGAAAAGTGCTAATGTCATCCAGGTTATTTTAATTCGTGTACCAACTTTGTTGAAGAACGTTCTATTTGCCCGCGTTTCCCTACCTTCTTTCGCTCAAAGTCGTTTCAGTTCGCCCGTGACGGTGGCATTACGTTGCGTGCGATGTGCACACTGCTGGGTGAACATACGCAGAGTTCCTCGTCATCGTTGTTTGGGCAACGCGCCAATCGATTTCGTGAAATCGCCGTTGTTATGTGTCAAGGGTCTGTTTATTTTATTGCCACACAGGGAAAACTTACCCAGAAAATGAAACAATTAAAATTTATCTTTACTCAACGTCATGTGGAATAACCAATAATGTTCATTGACTTTGCCTCAAACATAATGCTAATTAATTAACATAATTAACCAACAGATTGATTTAAAATAAATTAACATTAAATAATAATATTATAATTTATTTAAAATATTTCTTTGTCCTGTCCTCTACTTCAACTTCCGATTAAAATAATAATAATACTTAATTTTTTTTTCTCAATCACGGATATAAATAGATACAAGCTTACAACGCAACTCATGTGTTCAACACAACACGTTTGTTTTATTGACTTGTAGGCATTTATTTATAGTATTTCCAAATGTCAAGGAAAATATATGTAAATATTAAGTACCTGTAGGTACAATCTAATCCCAACTACTTATATCTACTAATAATAATAATATAACTAATAATAAAACGTCAGTAAGTCAGTATCCCAGTATGTTTATCTGGTAGCTATTTTCTCTGACACACAGTTTATTTCCTGTTATACGACCGATATTGATTTATTTATGTTCGCATTTTCCTTCTCTAACATCAAAACATTATAATTACAATGTTTTAGTACATTTATCTATTCATATATTTTATAAACGCTGACGATCTATTTTCTTAGAAATGAAAACTAAATGTATTCTCTTTTGTTACAGATTTGTACGTTTTTATAAGGCGCAAAGATGACTGACTCACACGCTAAAATAGAAGGTAAGGCTTGTACGAAGGGCGTTCTACACGAATACACGTAGATTTCTAATATTATCCACTAGGACAACATACAAAGTTTGTTATAATTGGAGTTTTCTTACTAATAGAATTATACTTAGTTCTTATTGCAATCGAACCGAATTTATGGGATTAATAAACATTACTGGCAGAAAGTGGGTGTAGTAAACATCTTTATCTGCATATATCCGGGAAAATCAGACCAGATGTTCTGCTTTGTTATGTAATATCAGGTCAGGCCAGCCATCCAATACAAAAGAGTTAGCTCCAAGAAGGATTGTGTACAAACATGCGTGTACAATAACTCAATTTCAATGAACAACCGTTTAGCGGGCGCACTCCATTATAGCTCTTGTCCGTATGATACCAATCATACCACAAACGTCTTTGTTAGTCTACTAACATTACTGCTGTATGCGCATAAGGTTTGTTTTCCTGTAGCTACACAAAATGCATTACAATCTAATTTTTAATGCACTTCCGAAAATTGACTTCATACTGCGTCAAATTGTAAGATTGGAAACTCATTGGGAATGTGAATATCAAGTACTTAGTTGGTCAATGCCTCTAGTTGTATAGTTTTCAAAAGTCGGTACTTTACACAACGAAACGGAAACGTAAAATTTACGATATTGTGATGAATTCGGTACACTTTAACAAATAATGTAGGCATAATTATGCTCTACGAAGGACTTCGAAGAATATAATTAAGCCGTCAGCCGTCTAAAGGTTTTAGACGACCTGAAAATTTTATGAGGCAAGTACGCTGAAACGTTGTAGCTTTCACCTTTCATTGAAGATTTATGCTCCACATTGTTTCAAAATTCCACTACAACGTAGGTCGACAAAAGATTCCTGAAGCCTCCTTCTATGCTCTTTCAGTCTGGGCTTTGTATAACGAGCAATTAACATTTTTTTTAATTAAAACTAGAGAGAATAAGTATACTATTATCGTGTATGCTAGGTAAACTTTTGGACTTTCCGGACTTGACACAGTAATTCGCTAAATGACAAGCTAACTACACTACTTTGTATTCACTGATATTCAACCTAAGGCAAGGCTCTAATTGTATGAATGTATAGAAAAGGGACTCAATTACGGTGTCTGTCCGTTGGCGTCGGTGTATGTTACGGAATATTATAGTCACCGCAGAATGTAACCCACACCAGCCCGTACCTTGCGAGCTCATCAAAGAGTCTCTTCGTGTACGAGTAATCCAAACCTGTGAGCAAAGTTTCTGCAAAGGTCAAATCTGCAATAGCTAAGTGTCGGTTTAATTCCTCAACAATATGCACATAAATTAAAAATTTGCTTATTAGCTTATTTCGCTCAGTATTTTCATACTCACTGAATTTCTCATTTTTGAATTTCTATCGAATTAGTAAAGTCCTCTTTTGTTAGAATTCTTATTAACATAAAGTTGTGTTTTTTTATAGAAAATAGGACTTTCAGCTAATTAATCCTCTTGACTTTCCGCTAAAGCCTCTTAGTTGGAGTTTTCATGAAATTCCATGGTTTGTTTTCTGAAACCCGCTTTTCATAGTGTTTCTCTATTCAGTTTAAGTTCCAGGAACTACCTAGTTTAAACAAAAATGGTTATGTAAAACACAAGTGGTCGCTTGTGTTTTCAATTCTATTTAGGTCGCTATCCGGTCAGATAGCGACCTAAATTGTAGTCAAAGTAGAAAAAACAAATACAATTTGAAATTCTGTTTGTATAATAATAAAATCTATTTTAATTAACAGATAACCCGAAGATATTGTCCGGCCCAGTGCTGGTCAACTCACCAAATGCGGTTTTGTCGAAAACCCTGTTGGGAAGGTACAATGACCTCCCTATTCCTGCGGACAAAATTTTGGCAACATACATCTGGATCGATGGAACTGGAGAACATCTTCGTTGCAAAGATCGTACCCTGAGCTTCATTCCAAAGCAACCCAAGGGTGAGTGTCCTCCTAAATTGCACTTACCATTGCCGGTTTGTGTATAATACATAATTACAGTGTCTATTTCCTGAAACAAAAATTCGGTCGCGGTTTTTAAATCATATACATCACTGGTTGAAACACAGAAGTGGCACATCCTATGAAATGAGTGTGGTTTTATTACATCCTCATTAACAAAGCAATTAGCACAGTTTAGGTAAATTGTTCAACCTTCAGTGAAACAAGCTGATCTGTAAACAACATGGCGCCGTAACATAACAACATGTTATCTGGTCATGTAACAGTTATTACAATACAACATGTACACATATATCCGTTAATCTAAATCGGGATACATAATACCCAAAACTACATAATTCTTAATACTACACTGGCTTATACAATACGCAGCCAGCCATAAAATAATAATAGTCACAAATAAAAATAGCAACCCACTTCCATCACTAGCACTTTTGATGAAAACTTAAAAGGTTTCAAAGCAATATTGTCCAGAAGCAGACGTATAAATGTTACGATAGATTTCATTCAATATTCTTAGTTCATTGGAAAGTTGTTGTTCACAGTAAATTAAGTGTCCACGTCTGATAGAGTGCCTTCATGTTCATTATGTTAGAGTAATTGAGTGGCACTTAAGTTTAGGAACATAATATTATATACTCTGTTATACTAGTTTGTATCATTTGTGTGTAATTTATTTTTGACAGATCTTCCGATTTGGAACTTCGATGGCAGCTCCACGGGACAGTCGGACGGGCACAACTCTGATACATTCCTGTATCCCCGTGCCATTTACCGGGACCCATTCAGGCGTGGCAACCACATCCTCGTCATGTGCGACACGTACAAATACAACATGGAGCCCACAGGTGAGTTCATTACAATTCTGCACAATACAAACAGAAAGCCTTTTGTCTTTCAAATTCACAGCATTCTGCAACAATCTACGATATTATTTCCAAATAGAGTAAATTAAGTAGATTCGTTTCATGTTTTTGTTTAATCAATAAGACCTATAGGGTTCCCTTTATTTATTGTATCCATATGCGTTAAATTAATAACAGTGGCAAAAACAACAGATTAATGTTTTATTATTTGAAATCTTCAGATTAAACTTGATATACTTAGTATGTGATAATGTGATAGTGTGTGAGTATTAAGTGGCGTTATATTAGTCATCGCCGCTTCGCAATCGCAATTAATTAGGCATTTATGGTAATTGCATGACAGCACGACCTGCGCATTGTTTTACTTATTTTAGATTAGGTATATTACCACATAGTGCACAGGTCAGCGGTAACTGTACCGAATATGTAATGTAGCCCACATGCTACATATTTTATGTCATGTTCCGGTCTTCTGAACCAACTGAATTATGACAGATCTCTTATAATAAAAGTTGTTCTATCGTTTCCACAGAGACTAACCATCGCATTAAGTGCCAAGAGGCATATGATAAGTGCAAGGATGATGAGCCGTGGTTTGGAATTGAGCAGGAGTACATCTTGCTTGACTCGGACCTAAGGCCCTTCGGATGGCCCCCAGGTGGCTTCCCCCCACCACAAGGCCCATACTACTGCGGTGTTGGTGCCAACAAGGTGTTCGCCAGGGATCTTGTCGAGGCACATTACAGGTGAATAAATTATTCCACCACAATTTGAATCTCAATATCACATTTTCAAAAAAATACAATCTTTAGACACAATTATTTCATACTTAATTTTCCTTTTACAGATGTTGTTTATTTGCTGGCGTTCCCATTTCGGGCACCAACGCTGAGGTCATGCCCTCGCAGTGGGAGTTCCAAGTGGGTCCCTCTGTGGGAGTGACCGCTGGCGACGACCTGTGGGTCGCTCGCTACATTCTGAACAGGCTCGCTGAGGAGTATGGAGTGATTGTCAGCTTTGACCCCAAACCAGTCCAGGACTGGAACGGATCTGGAGCTCATACTAACTTCTCCACCAAAAAGATGCGCGAAGACAACGGTATTATGTAAGTATCAATGATATGATTGACGTTCACGTTTATAAAACTCCCCGATTTAGTCGCTGAAATGTTTCATACGGCCACACGATGTTCAGTTTAACGAAACAATCGACTTTTACATTTTAATTTATCGAATAATGCCTTTCGACACCGTTGGGTGCGTTGTTTATTGTTTAACTGGTACGACTTGTAACAACGATGTAAGATAGTCACTACACCACTACGGTAATACTTAACGAATAATATTACTTATTTTCAGTGAAATCGAGAAGGCCATTGACAAGCTGTCTAAAGTTCACATGAAGCACATCAAGGTGTACGATCCTCGCGGAGGAAAGGACAATGAGAGACGTTTGACGGGTCTCCACGAAACTGCCAGTATTAATGACTTCAGCGCCGGTAAGTGTCCAGAACTAACTGAATGACAATTACACAATTTACTTCGAGGACAGAATATAGAAACTAATGATTTTTATTTGGCAGGTGTCGCTAACCGTGGCAGCAGCATCAGGATACCGCGGAATGTAGCCGAGGATAAGAAGGGCTACTTGGAGGATCGTCGACCGGCCTCGAACTGCGACCCGTACGCTGTGATAGATGCGCTGATGCGCACCTGCATACTCAATGAATAACGGTGGCGTATCCCCCGCCAGGCCACTCCTGCGCCACGTGTCAGCTAGCGAACACATCACCAGTAAATCCGTCTATTAAGTTCGTGCCTGGTTGCCAACGCAAGCTGTATGTACCTGCACCGACGTGCGTTATTGAACCTCTTCCATTTTAGTGATATACATATGCCGCAAGAGCAACACCAAGTAACGTTTTGTATAGACATTTACCTTATAATATTAATTATTATATTCACTAGCGACGACAAATCGAATAATTATGGCCTATAGGTATTCAATAGAATAGATTATTCAATGTACACTAACTATAAAAGATAAATCAAAGGATAATAAATAATTAAACCGAAACGTGATAGAGGTAGTGCGTTTAAAAGGACCATATAAGATATTAATATATTGTATAAGTAGGTAAATATTTCTACGAATATTATGTGATATTTAAAAATTGTTATTTTGATGTTAAATAGTTTAATTGTATACAAATAACCACATATCATTATTTTTAACAAATTCATTTAATGCATAGTTGCAAATTAGTTGTAGTGAATAACATGAAAGAGAACACATGAATTGCTTGACATATTATGTACTAACAAGATAACTACAGATATAATTACAAAGTCCGAATGATAACGTTATGAGTATAGGATCTACCAGTATGTTAATATTAAAGGTAGTTTACGTGCAAAATCATTTGCAAATATTCTAGAGTATAAAGTAAAGAGAACCGCAAGAGCCTTTCAAGAGTTCAAGCACTTATGAAGTATGTCTAAACGTGAACACCATGTACACTCGTGTAGAGCACAAATTATTATATTCCTATCGTCAGAATAAAATTATTTATGCTATTATATTATGTATAAGATGTTTAAAATTGTTTTGCATGCATCGGAAATTGGTATGATTAACAAAATGTAAGCGTATAAGAAATGTTGTTATAAAATACGAGATATTATAAAAAAATAAACATACTTTGTTGTACTACTCATGCTTTTGTTATTTTTGTTTAAGTATTCCTGTCCTCATCCAGTCCCACAAAAAAATCAGATGATGATTATGATCAGAACTTTATTAAAACATTATAAATAAATGATAAGGTTCCCATCACAATATTTAATTGAGAACGGGAGGAACGCATTTTAATGTGCAAAATAAATATGTTGTCGTTTCTTAAAAATTAAAATTCATAATTATATGGAGGCACGACAGTACCACGATCAATGTCATAGCATGAAAATAGCATAGCAAACTTTATTCTCGTAACAGTTCGGACAATTTTCTATTCCCTTCTATTTATTTCCATCTACTAAACCCCAAAATTGTATCACAATGTAGGTATACGCCATCTACTATACACTCAATCACTGTATACTTTAGCTAAAATTTGTAGTGTGGAATGGCAACATAGATGTCGCTTATCACAAAATTTTCAATCCACTACTCCGTCTTTATGCGGTCCTAGTACCGCTGGAGCCAAATTTTCAGCTGTTTCGGGCCAAGTTTTGCAAAAATGAGTTTAATAAATTTGCACGTTATCTTGGTACTTTCAAGAGCTATTTTGGACTAAATCACCCATTTAACAGGTAACAGAAAGCCTTGATATGAAAATAATTTATTGCGCCATCTATGTTGCGTGTTAAAAATGCACTTGGTGCTATATTCGTTTACTACTAGATGTCGTCAGCATCAATATCAGCACTTCGTGACATTTTGTTTGTTGCCTGTCACCGTTTTGCATGTGCTCCTGGTACATTACTCGACAAAATGTAGTAGTAAGTCGGACGTCGGGCTGTCAACTTCATTTGGTCGACTTGAAAGATGACGTAAACACATAATTGGAGTTTCATATCGGTGTTGCGCTGTTTGTTCGCACGTAAATATACATTTAGTCGAAATCTTCTATTGTTTGAAGGTAATTAGGAGATAGGGCTACCATATACTTTTAAGTACTAAAGATTAAAATGAAAATAATTATTAATGAAAATCGTAAACCGCATGATTAAGTAGCAAGTGAAGTAGTTACTAGTACACAAACTATACTTGCTATACAAAACGCCTGGTCGTCGTATTTCGTGACCGAAGGGTTAGTGTGATCCTCGGTCAAAGGTTTAACATTGCCATACAACGTCACCACTTGGCACTTTAACTATTGACGTCAGTTGCGCGCGAGCCGCTGAGTCGAGCGTACGCGTAGTCGATTGCTATATCTTTTGTGGTTATTTTTTTTTTAAATCTACCCGCATATTTTTTTTTATCTATATGTCGTTTGACAATGGGTGATGTGGAAAAGACTTTTAATTTATTTAACTCGAGTGGTGATGAGCAATCACTGAATGCCGTTGACGGAGATATATGTGAGAGAAGTACCGAATCGGAGACAAGTACGGAGTTACCGAGAATTCCGGAGAAAAGAATGAGATTCGAAAGTGATGAAATAGTTGCAGATGATGATGGTTTTGTAGAAGTTAGAAAAGGCAAGAAAAGGCTTCCAAGGCGACTATCTGAAAAAAATGCTGAAAATGAACAGGAACATAATAAAGAGTTCGAAAATACTGAGAAAATTATCGTGAGTGTCACGTCCAAGGAAATTCTACCCAAACAATTTGGTTTAGCAAAAAAATTAAGAGCGGAAAATATTGATAATATCCTGAAAATAACTTATAAGAATCCCTACAAAGTATTAATAGAATTTGAAGATAAAACAAATGCACAGAAGTTAGTAAATTGTGAAAGCTTTCATGGTTTGGGTTATAGATGTCTATTCACGAATGAAAGAATTTTATGTTACGGGGTTGTAAAGAATATAGATTTGGATATAGAAGACAAAGAGTTTCAGGATAGCTTAGAATGTGAGCACCAAGTAGTTTCCGTCAGACGTTTAAAAAGGTTAACTGACACAGGAGGATGGATAAACAGTGAGACTGTACGTATATGTTTAAAAGCTCTATTTTACCCCCATATTTTTTTTTTAATGGGACAAGCCCGCCACAACCTCCCAAAACCGCTGCAACTCCTGTAAGCCAGGATCTACAGTAGATACAACCATGAAAACACCGGAACACTGAAGTCCGGCGAGTCCCAGGGACATGAGTAACTGTCTTGGTTCCCGCAACGAAATGAATCAGAAGATATTATAAGAGGAGAAGAAAAAACTATAGTTTCCACTTCCCTCGGTGAATTTCTGCAGGAGACAGAATGAATTAAGCCTAAAGGCACAAAGAAGAGACTGTACAACTGGGTGAAGCCCAGTCGCCAAGCATCACGGAAATTTGACTAAAAAACTAAGTGGGTCCTATGTGTGAGCTGTTATACTTGCTTCCAATAATAGGTATGGCAAAAACGCCTAAACGCACGGAAATTTGTTCTAGATTCCACAAGGTCCGTATTTACCCCCATATGTCTATATATATATGGGTACAGGTTTAAGGTGGAACCATACACCTTTCCGGTGACACAATGCTCAGCATGCTGGCGTTATGCTCACCCATTAAAAATATGTCCAACAAAAAATAATTTGTGTCCCAAGTGTGGTAAAGAACACGCTAACTGCGAAACTAAAGAGTATAAATGTTTAAATTGTAAAGGAGCACACATGGCGCTAGATAAATCCTGCCCTATTTTCTTAAAAGAAAAGGCGAACATAATGTGTCAAGAAAATTGTACGTACGGGAAAGCATTGTGTCAATTTATATAAACAAAGCTAGAACAACAAGGGAGCTTAATAATGTGTTTCAACTCAACTCAAATAAAGCGACAAATAGCATTTCTCACACTGATGATTCTAATAAAAAGAGTTTTAGAGATGTGCTTATGACAAACACACCGAACAGAACAGCAAAAAACAACAAAGCCATTCAAATTCTGAAGAGAAAATGGATAGTGACGAAGAAGAGAACAATAATCTTACACCCTTCCCGATTTTAGGCAAAAATAGGCCCAAGAAGAAGATAAATAGAGCTAAGAAATTACTGGAGCCGGATCTAAGTGAGGAATGTTTTCGCATTAACGCCGCATCTACTTCACAGCAGTCTACAAAAAACGATCGTGGGAAAGAATCAATCTCGAAAAACTTTTGGATTTAAAAAAAATTTAGATATTGTACAGAATATTTGTTTTTCTGAAAACAGTTTTGAAATTAAAATAAAATTGATATGTAACTACGTTTTTGAAGAGATTAAACAATTTGTTATAAAGTTAGTTAGGAGTTCAGATATTATGAGTAAAGTATATTGCCTCTTTACAAATGGCTACTTAATTGTAATAAAGACTTTCAGTTGAACATACTGCAGTGAAATGCACAGAGCTTAAAGCCCAAAGTAGAAGAATTTAAACTTCTATTATTGCAAGAACATTTGCACTAGTTAGTGAAACCTGGTTAGCCCCGGAATTTATGATCAACATCAGTCAGTATAATGTGTATAGACGGGATAGGAACGATTCTTATGGTGGCGTCGCCACATTTACTATAGATTCTCTCAGAGACTGGATTTGAGTTGCACTGGTTCGCGCATCGGACACATACCTCTCACCAACGGTGTTGCCATCTGCGTACCCAAAGATACCGGGCTGGAGCAGGTCATTAATGTGCAACAGAAAAAGTGTTGCTGAGAGTACTGACCCCTGAGGAACCCCGGCATTAATACCAATTGGATTGAATGAGCAGCCATCAATGACCACTCGGATCGATCGATCCCTCAGGAAGTCTGTTATCCATCTGCACAAACCAGTGGGGAGTCCATATGCGGGAAACTTGCCAACAAGACTATCATGCCAGACCCTGTCGAAGGCCTTCGAGACATCGAGCGATACGGCTAACGCTTTCCCGTGTTTCTCGATGGCCTCGCCCCAGATGTGGGTGGCATATGCAAGAAGGTCCCCAGTAGATCGGTTTCGGCGAAATCCGTATCGCTGATCACTAAGGAGATCGTTACCTTCAAGGTATGCCAGGAGCCTGTTCTTCAGTATACGTTCAACGTGACCGAGATAGGTCTGTAGTTATTAGGGTCGGCACGGCTGCCATGCTTTCGGCACTTGGCCAGTCTCCAAAGATAGGCAAAATAGATGTGAAAGGATTGGAGCTAACTCAGGTGCACAAGTTTTCAGTACTACGGCCGAGATTCCATTGGGACCAGTGGCTTTGTTCACGTCCAGGTTGCGCAACGTTCTGCAGACCTTCTGTCGAATGCGAATGTCCGACATGTTAGTCTCGCATACTTGGTGTATAGAAGGTGGTGAAGCGCCACCAGCATCAAGACGCGAAAACTCCGCAAAAAGAGAGGCGAATAAGTTCGCTTTCTCTATTGCGGTGTAAGTCAGCGTCCCATCAGACCGCAGTAGCGGTGGGAGTGAGGGGCGACAGAAGTTCGATTCCACCGACTTGGCCAGGGACCAAAAAGCCTTACTACCCGTTGGGTAAGAAGCAAGTTTGGCCTCTATTCGGCCGATGTGTTTGAACCGAGCTTCGCGCAGTGCCTTTTTATATGACTTGGCGGCCCGGTTGAAAGCTCTCTTCCTTTAAAGTATATCATCAGTCCTATGGGACCTGGCGTCCGCCCATGCCATATATGCAGCATGCTTTAATGCCTCCGTTTGTCTGCAGTTGGCATCAAACCATGGGCGAAAGCTACCGACGGATGTCGCGTCCGAGAACGGAACGTAATATTCCATGCCCTGACGCAACACCCCCGTTACGGCATCTGCACAAGCTGACGGATCATCGGAAGAGAAGCAAACACGCCGCCATGGATAGGATGCAAAAAAGGATCGCATTTCATCCCAATCTGCTGACTTGTATCTCGCCACATCCGTCGTGGTTCCCCAGGGCTAGAATCACGTGGGGAGTGTGTAGATACAGATTTCACCAGACAGTGATCAGAGCTACCTAAAGGTGATGAGACTGATACCGAGTAGTGGTCTGGATTAGTTGTCAGCAGAAGGTCAAGGCAAGACTACATTACTTTTTTTTTTGATAAGTATGTGAGAAATCCATGTTTGAATTACAATGATGTTAAGGCACACAAACATATGTGGGCAAATGAACAATAAAATTTTAACATATAATTTAATTCGCTTTGCTTGAATTTATAAATTAATTGGATACACATCAAATAGAAGAAATACATCAAAAATCTTATATGTCTTACACCAAATAAGGAAAACAACCAACCGAAAAACTGCATTAGGTACTATAGACAAATAGCTTAAACACACTGTAATCTATATTTTAACCAACGTCGAACAAGTTTCAGACCACATTTAAAAAGTGAAAAAAAAAACAAACGCGATAGCCAGATAACAAAACAATATAAGTATAATATTTACGACATAAATAGATAAAATTATTTAATCTGTGTATATACATATATGCATTCATGTCTTAAGTTATATTCGTAAAAAATAAAAATATAATAGATAATGGGTCACCAAAATGTTTGAAAGAGAAAAAGAAACCACACGCACGAAAAAAACAGTTTTTGTTCCCGTTGCGTTTGTAACAGCGCGATATACCTCTAAATGACACCTAATGCCATCTATCAACAAACAGGAGAAGTTCATACATACTTCAAAATTTCGCAATTACAAACATATTTACAACTAACTATAACAGCATTTTATAAGAAAAATAAATAGATATAGATATATAAAATTTATATATAGGTATATTTTATTCTGAGCAATTTTTTTACTTTTTAGAGTGAAGTACTATTGACCGACTATTATTCCTGAACATTAAGTGCGATAGTTTTCCTTTAAAGACGTGATGTTTTAATTTCTAACAGCAACCATTTTATCAATATAGGCTGAGGACACTAGACTCAAACAAAAATGGGAGATTACATCAAAAAATGGTATTTCGAATCCCCATAAATACCTCATCCAATATGGGGAAGATAAAGTTATTTACCCCACTTCACATGTAGAAGAAGCTCCGTATAAATTCTTTCAAGATCTAATTTTACTTTCTACTATCAATTGGACGGGGTGTGAATAAAATATTTTTAGCGTTTCAGCTTTGTAGTATCAATATATTTTTTGAGCATTACTACGAATGATAAGGGTTCCCTGTTTTCAACAAACTCTTACAAAAGGAAGGAATCATACTGAGATACGACCACCCATATGGGTGGCTCAATACTCAATTCTTTATTGCGTTCCACATGCCAGATTTAGGTGGTAAATATATAATACTTAGAACACAATGTGAACCCTTGTCGGGAACAACAATACAAGTTTTGGAGGGACTTATACATACATACATACATAACTTCACGCCTGTCTCCCATGGGGGTAGGCAGAGACTAAAGAACGCCAATTATTACGATTCTTACATACCTCTTTCGCTTCATTAACAGTCATCAATCTTTTCATGCATGCTCGTCGGAGGGTACTTTTAAATTGGCTCTTCTTTAATATATCGCCAATCTGGTCACTATATGTCCGTCTAGGGTACCCTCTACAGACGGCCTCATTCACTTACTTCTTATTTTTTTTTTAATATTACATTTCTTATTCTCCACGGACTCTTGTCCGTGCCCTTGTCATTCCATTACATTTTCTTTTAATTTACAGTCAAAATTAATTGTTACAAAAATCGTACGTGCTACATTACCCACATTTTTTTTTCACAAAGAAGGTTGTGTCTAATATCTATATATAGAGGTACACAATACATGTTTTATTACATTTACATTAACCTTACTGGATCGGCACACACGCGCGATGAGCGAGCCGACCTGATCCAGCAGAAGGCGCCCGTTCACGAGCATGACGTGAGGGCCAGCAATCGGTCCGATCAACCATTTCGTAGGGAACGGAGCGACCCAGTCTACAGCGCCACCGACTGTAGAACATTTAAGAATGCATGACGTCTGCTCACATAGCAGTAAGCCGATTCCAGTAGTGCCAATGGATTTTTGTCAGTCTTATTGATAAAATTACATTACGTTACATTATATTTACTACATTTTAACATTATTAAACACACACAAATATATATTAATGTCACGCTTGCATCACAATTCATTTCAAGCTTACAGCGAGCCCTCCCCACCCAAAAGAGCGCCCACAACCGCCATGTCCCTATTGCTGATAGCCATTTTCAAGTTATAGTCCAGGATCCCCCGCTCATTCTCACCCACCGCTCGTCTGATTAATTTGCTGATCGCGTCGTCACTGATATTCGTGTAGTAAACACAGCTGTTAGTGTGACGGGATATAGCTACCACGGCGTGCGATACACTGTCGTGTATCCGCTGTTTCTTCTCCGCTGTATTCACAACAACCACTGCCGCGTACGAAAGCCCCTGAGCTTCGTGTATTGTGAGTACGCGTGATCCCACACCCGATCCGTATCCTTGGTTTTTAAGGGATTCCTTTTCTACCTGAGTGTGTACCAGGTATAACGTGTTCGGAGGAGATTTGGGTATTCGCGACCCTGAGAAGCTTTTTAACTCAAGGGATCTCACACCCGACGCGGACGAATATATGCCACTGTACACAGTACTAAGAGCATATGCTACATCCATAGGGTTTCTGTGAGTGCAGAGAAGTTCTTGGCTAATAGCCACAACGTGTGTAGGGCGGTTGTAAATGAGGGGGAAGAGGTTGTCTCGGTCAATGAAGGGAAGTTGATTTATGTCACCAATCAGCAGAACTTCTTTGGCCTGAGTTATTCGGGCCGCCATCACAATGGCCCCAAAGTGATTCATGAGAGCCTCATCTACCATGATTCGGTGGCAGCTCTCTTGCTCTTTTAATCCGTTCACTAAAATGGATGCCATTTTTCGGACTTTGGATTTGACTAATCCTCCGATTCGGCAGGATAGTTTGTCTCTGAGGTCATTTGC